CATCAGTATCGGTATACAACCGCAAGGGCAATTTTTGTCATTCGTAAAAAAATAGTTCACTGCGAGTGCATCGAATTTCAGCGTCCTTTCTTTTTTCAGGCTAATTGCATGAATCTGGTACGACGTTCGAGTGAGATGTACTCGCGATGTAATATAAGTGAGCCCTCGTAATTTTCTCGAAACGTGGTTTTTACTATAACGGGTTGCTAAAATGCGGCTCCAGGCTGTAAGTGTCGAGTTCTCGGAAAGTATACACATAGAATGCAAAGAGAAACGATACGTCTATCTCGCATTTCGAAGCATATAGGTATACCCTAACCGGCCCGCACGAGCCGTATCGATTGAAAAGAGTTTATTATAATTCTGATTTACAATTATTATAGTATAAAAATCAATTGATGCGCTATGTGTTTTTTATGTATGTGCCTGTGTTCGTTTGAAAAATAATTGTGTATGTATGTATGTATGTATGTGGGATGTAGTAATATCGATCGGACATGGTGATCGTCCGATTTACAGTGGGCAAATCGAGCGGAACGCGGTTTACGCTAGAATAGATTTTTGCTGAAAAGAGAATACCGCTCACACTCACAGCCGTTATTGTCAGTTTGTCTGGACGTCACTAAATATTCAGCACATACTACATACGCGCGACTACTATAGAGTATAGATCGAAGCTCGTAACGCGAGGGAAATTTGGAAAATTATTACGTTCCGATTTATATACGTTCCGCGGCGCATTTGCTGTTGTTTTGCAATGAAAAGAAAAATCGGGCATACTTCGAACGCGATACATACGGTATCCGATATCGAGGAACATTTCCTTTTATATTGTAATTATGAAGAAAGGAACTAATGGTCGAAAATTTTGGATTTTTGTATTTTCTGTTGCAAAATATTGCTAAATAATATTTAACAAAGAAAACCAACTGCTAGTTATTACATATCATAATAAAATTGTAGTTTTAATATTTTTCTAAAGTAAATGTATTTGAGAATTAAAATTTTGATCCGATTCCTTTCTACATAAATATGTTTAATTTGAATCGATTCAAATCGTCCTTACGCCGATGTCAATTTTATGTCAAAGAGATTTAGTTTTTCAATCTCTTTCTATTTTACTCGATATCGCGAAATTGATTCATTGCCGCTTTATACAATAAGTGATGCGCGATCAGTTTGACTTGATTTGTCCGTTATCTTATAATTTTAGATTCGAGAAAGGCGTCCACGCAGTTCTGCGAGAAAGCCACTCCGTTTTCATCGGTCATCAATGGAATCTGGCACGAATCTCTCGAATCCCGCATGATACTACTCGCTAATCATGTCTACGTGGTCTACGAGTGATGATAAGAGGACAAGAGGTACGTGCTGATTTACGTGACCCGGCGATTAGTGCAATCGGTGATGCATCATTTGCAACCGAGAAGCGTGATGCGATGTAGGTATACCGTAAAAAGAAGCGCTGTCTCGGGGATGTTTCTAGTCTAGTGGTCTTCCTTGAACAACTCAGATGTATGAAAACGAGGACATTCTCTTAAATATTCTTGTTGTCCAGATCTTAACTTCGATATCACGAGTATATTCGATGAGCTTTTCTTCTTCCCCGCTTTTACTAAACCTTGGCTAAAACTAATTGGTCATTTGTCGCGGCTACGAAAGATCAAAATGACAGTCAAAGAGATAGGCGTGCACACGACAGGCGCGACGGTCGCGCCAAGAGATCGCGAAAGACGCACGATAAATATTATTACATGAATATACGCGATGTAAGGAGAAGCATGTGATAATAATAAATCACGCGGAATTTTTCACTTGGACAAGAGCTATCTTACACTAGATAAGACGCGTCCTCGAAGAATGCGAGGACGACGCGAGGCACGTCGCGGCGACCCGCGCGATTCCGTCGCCATTTCTTTATTTCCCTCTGAGTCCTATATAGAAGAATACATCGACATCATGCTATACTATGCGTCGCACATCATACGATCTTGTGCATGCTCGCAAGATCGATTTAAAAAAGTAAATCTTTTCATTATTTCTTGTTTGGCGTTCCGCGAATTATTCTCAACATAATTGAATGCAAGATAATAATATACAATTATTATTGTAATTTGAGGAAAAGTAATGTTTGGAACTCAGAGGATCGTACCACTGTATCACCCGATACGTTTCGATCACGACGGAATTCGCGAAACTCAGCGGGCTGGCCGCGGGATGCACGCCCCGAGAGTGAGAAGAATATAGTGCACATTTAACAAAAAAATGCCAACAAGGAAACGTGCGTGAATAATAAATTAATCGATCACATGCGCAAAATGCATTGTCTTATAAATCGTATAAAAATTTTCTATATTCAACCTAGCTTATAATGCCTTAAAAGTACGTCGGGAATTTGTTGTATAATGCCTGCAGATCTGATGCGCGCCTTTCTTGTGTAGCGAGACAATTTTGCTACGATCTGCGCGCGAGCTCCAAGCTATCGGGGGGAAGCGTACGTTCGTGCGTTCGTTCGTCATCATTCGGCCGATTCGGCCTAACGGTTAACATTTTCAATATTAATTTGGTCATTCAGCAGAAAGAGATCGACGCGCGAACACGACGCGCGTGACGGCGTGAAAAGACGGATTCGAATTTCGAAATTTAATCATCTCGCGAGGAGGATATATCCTCTAAACGACGTTACGGTTGACCGACTGAACAAATAGCAAGTCTCAAAATCGCATTTGGCTGTGCAATGACACGCGATCGATATTCGCGCGCTCTCGTGCTATGTCGTGTCGCTCTTAAGCCCGCAAATTCTTCGGGCGGGCGTAACGATCTCGCGTATACATGAGGACCGATCGCGTGATGGCTCGCATGCTAGATCGCGGCACGGTGTCTCGCGGCGCGCAAAAGCGAATCGAAAAATAAGTCGGAGAGACACGTGAGAGAGATAGCGAGTAATCTTCTGTTTTTTCCTTCGTACAAGTGATTTGACGATGTTATATGCCAACGACACAGCTATCAGTGAGATATTTCGTCGAGGATCGATGCAACGCGCGCGCGCATTCCTATCATCTACATTCGCAAAGTATTGCTCAGCTGACGCTCTGGTTCGATCTACGAAAATATACCACGTGGATTCCCCTCCTCACAAATTTGCCTTTTACGAAACAGGAAACAGAGATTTCTTCTTGAGATTTGTCCGAAATTTGTATTCACACACGCGCGGAACTGTATATTGATTGTGAGTAATTCGCTTGAATTGCTAATATAGATTTGCACATATCGAAGTTACTTTGACTCTTCCGCTTACATTCAGACTTGCACAATATAAAATCCTAATTTAATATGGCCGGTAATTTGGTTTACCTCTTTCTCTTTTTGTCTAATCACGTCCATCTACCCACTATTCTGTCCCGCCTCCCATTTTGTTGTTATAATATACTTATGTACTGTATGAGTAATTTTATATTTAACCGCAATTAGTAAATAGATAATGCAAGCTTATGCTAATTTTCATTATACGTAATGGTGTATATGTGTGAGTGTTTGTATTATTAATACTAAATTCACATTCATCTTCTATGTGTAACGAGAACTTTCATTCTTTTTTTCTCATAATTGCAAATACGCGCTCGCATGCTCTCTCTTTCTCTCTCTCTCTCATTTTTATTCTCGTACACTAGTAAACAATTTCGTGCAAAATCCAATTTCTCAACGTAAAAAATATCAAACAGAGAAAATTTATACCATCAGATTTCACAGGATATCATTACTCTTTCGGCGAATAATGCGCACGGAAGTTAATGAAGGCTTTTCCATCGCAGATTAATCGCATTTACATTCGAGTAATGACATCTGTTCTTATTCTTCTCGATATAATTTATTCTATTAACGATGATTGAACAAACTCATATTAGATAATTTACTCGAATCTTTGTATGTTTAACCTTTATACTATACTGATATTAATGCTTGTCCTTTCTTTAACCATATTGAATGATCTATTTCTTGTGACAATCAAAAAGAATAATTGGACTTTCGAAAGCGATGGAGAAAAAGGAAAACATTTACATTCCATTTATGTGACGTGGTGTTTGCATATAAATATTATTCTAGATAATTTCCTCATTGGTTTCTCAAGTCGATATTAAATGTCTTTGAATTATTAATAGTAGGAGCGACTATAAAAATTGAAAATAATTAAGGATTAATGACTTTTTATCATAATAATATTTTCGATACGCGTCCAGCTAAAATCCCTTTTATAATATTACATATTTCTGCTTAATAATGCGGAATGATAACGCGTCTGAGTTAGCTGAGCCTTTAGCTGAAAAACACCGCCGCGTTTGCGTCTCGTGAAATTTTGCTACTCTGAAATGCAACGGAAAGAGTAGATTGTTAATTATTTTTTTCCGCATTGTTAATCGGTTATAAAGATATAGCCCTCGGACATTTATATATAGGAACGAGTTGCCACAATACGCGATATAATACGTACCTAGGTAATATTTAAAGCGAGAGCGCCTATTGGAGGATTTAACACGCGCTAAAAAAAATCACAATTTTGATTTGCGCGAACATTTATGCACTTTCGCTCTCACCTATTAAACTAATTCTAATTGTGTAAACTTTGAAGACCGCATTATTAGATTATCATTAAGGATAATCCTTTTTCCGCATCGCACTCTCAAAAAATCGATCGATTTTAAGATATTTGAGAATATCCGGGCGCTCAACGCTCGTTATTTCCCCTTCGTTACTTTATCTAGTTTCCCCCCTTTCCCCCTTTCTTCGTAAACATATATATCACGATGTAGCCTTATATAACAATTTTTCGCTTAAAAACGAATGCTAAACGCGCATTTATACGCCTTATATCGCTTTTTACTAAGAAGCCAATAGGGACAATCTCGAGATATGTCTGTGTTGAGAATAACTTTATGATATAACTACTTATTTCTTATATCGCTTAGGGAAGTGCAGCTCTTACTGCTTTATATATATATATATTTTTTTTTTTTTTCTATATGAGTTATACATTCAGCAACGCGTTAGCCTTTAATCGCTTTGCGGCGGGTTTTGCATGCCATAGTCGATTTCATCATCCTCAGCTTTTTCTTCTTGCGAGAAGCAAATGAATATCTACGAATAGCTTCGTACGATCGTGAGACTTGCGTATACATTTATTATTAATATCTTTTAAAATCGGAAACTTTTCTCTGTCTCTCTCTCTCTTTCTCTCTTTGTTTTTATCCTTTCTTCTTTTTCGTGTATGAAAAAAATTAATTTCTTGGAACATTATTCGCGCCAGACCGTGTCTCCTGTCAGTGTAATTAGATGTCGGAATGTATGCAGTATGTTGTTCGAACAGATTACTATGAGGAGGTTGATGAAAATGCAAATAAAAAATATTGTGTGACAAGTGAATAAAAATTAAAACTCATGAGACTAATATCTAATTTTTAATATATCAGGGTAACAATGTGTGATGTTCTCCAAGCAACAGCGTATTTTTTCTATAATCAATAAATAAAATATGTCTAAACGAAAAAGTGTCATTTGTTAACACAAACTTAACAGCGCGATGCAATTTTGCATTAACATCCATTCTATGTGGGGGTAAAATAATACGGTAACATTACATTATTGCACTTAAGTTTCGCACGAAACATATTTTCTTAGTATACTTTACATTTCTCTTCTTGGGTAATTATGGAGTTTCCTCTTCGTGCAATTTTGTTATGTAGGCTTATTTATTGAAATATATATATATGCCATTCACCGGTTTTATCTGGAGGCGATTTGGAAATAGCGTCTCTCTTGAAGATTCATTTATTTTATAAACACAGACTACGATGCATTTAATATCGTTTCTAATGTTTAAGTTTCGAGCTGTTCGAAGAAAATTGTTACACACGTATTGTTGGAAACAAAATTAAATATATTTTTTAATTTTGAGAATGAAAACTTTAATGTCCGGAGCTCGCACTGAAGGTTTCGATGTTTCGAATTACACAATGCAAATAAGTGTGTTACTCTCACTGTCGCCTCTTCATCTCTTCTCACTATTACTGCTTGCTGACGATAAGATTCATGATGTTAGACCTCAAATCTTGTTTGTTGCGTTACGTTGTATTACGCATATAGATGTGTCTTACGCAGTTCTTTTCTGCAGTTCTTTTAAAGCGTTATAAGCGTTCGTCAGAGGAAACCTCACCAGAATCTCTGAGCGCTGTCCCATAGGCTCTTCAGACTTGATCGGAACTCGAAGCGAAGATTCTGATAGTATCACGCTATGTTGTTGCCGCTCATTGTGGTCACGCATTTCTTCTCGGGAGTGTTTTGGCTCTCCGAGTTACTTCGCACTGCCTTTGGCGGGCTTCCTGGCGTTGGTGTCGTCTCACCCGACAGAGCATTGTTATTGTTCGTCGATGTCGAGCTTCTTCTACCGTTCTCGCGGGTCGGCGATTTCACGTCGAATACAGACGTATCCGACTCGATGTCCGAATCGATCTGAAATCGATTCGATGCTCTGTTAATTGGTGATACATATCGGCTCTCCTGCATCAGCTATTCACTATCCCATGCGACTTTCTACGAAAGCTTTAAATAATAAAGTTTAAAAAATCTAAATTTTTCACTAATAAAATTTAACAAAAGCAATTTATTAAAATTATTCATCTACAATAAATAGATAATTTAGATAATATTAATCTAGATTAATCTAGATTATGAATAAGAAAAAATGATAAGTACTAATGCGATGAGAATTTTCATTTGAGAAACTTCTATGATTTAAAGATTAAAAAAGTGATAATTATTATGACAACGATGAAGATGATGGGGATGATGCGCTACCTTATTGAAACAGACTACCTGTCTGGTAGCTGGGTGAGGGTTAAGAAAGAGTCGTTCACTGGTGTCGCTGCCGCAGCTGGAACTCTCACTCATCTCTGTGGTGAACTTTCTGGAGGCCCTCGGACTAGGCGGTGCGGCTCTGCTTTGTCCTCCCAAGTTCATACTCACATTTCTCGAACATACCTGAGACTGGATATGCTCGCATACTCGCCTAAATCTTCGAATGTTTCCTGCGCAAACATGGAATTGATTTCATTGTCTGACCCTTAATTCGACAATATTTAGATCTATTTTAATTAGATAATTTCTGAGAAAAATTCAAAAAACCACACATCGTATAAAGGATATATTACGATCAAATTAAGGGGTTAGGCCACCTTTGAGGCCTTAAAAGATACGAGCTAAGTTTGGGATTTTTTTATGGATAAATATAATAGATATAACTTTATTAAAAATCTATATTTAGAAGACATTATTGTATATATATAAGAAAGAAAAAAAAATATTTTTTTATTTTTTTAATGTTTAAAATGGCGGCGCACTGGCCTACTTGCGGAATCCTTTTTTTCTGTATCTTCAAATCGGTGTACAAGATTTCAGGCACACGGTTTGATCTTGAACAAAATACAAAGAATTTTCATTATCTACATATTAAAAACTAATGAAGTACATAGGGATTTTTTTTTAATATTAATTTTTCTCAAAATGGCAGCTATTTTACGAAAAATGTGTATTTTTTTCCAGTACAAGATTTTCTTATAAATAGCTGCCATTTTGAGAAAAATTAATATTTTGGAAAACCCTTACGTACTTCATTAGTCTTTAATATGTAGATAATGACAACTCTGTGTGTTTTGTTCAAGGTCAAACCGTCTACCTGGAATCGTGTACACCGATAGAAAAAAAGGGATTTTGCAAGTATAGGCCAGTGCGCCGCCATTTTGGACATGAGAAAAATAAGAAAATATTTTTTAGTTTCTTATATATGTACAATAATGTCCTCTAAACAGATTTTAAATAAAATTATTCATTTATACCCACAAAAAAATCCCAAACTTTAGGTATCGTTTTAAAACCTCAAAGGTGGCGTAACCCTTTAAGGATTAATATGACTTCCTCGAAAATTAGCGTTTAAATTACGCTTTGAGTAAAGATCGCGTTTGCTTATTAAAATATGGCTGAATTTTACGTAGCCGGTAACATGCTTCTGGCAGACTGAATTTATGAGCCGAGCGACTACGGCTTGTTCTCTCGCCGGCCGTAAGAGGCTAAGCGACTGCAGGCCAAAAAAAAAGGCCAGAACCTATCGTATCAACATACCAAATGTAGAATATACATATGCGGAGAGGACATAAAATTACACGTATATATTAGCTGTACGTGCCAAGATAACATCGATCTAGTTGCGCTTGGATGACTGCCAAACGCCAAAGCGAGACGATCCATATCTATACGATGTATTTTCACAAGGGTTTTGTACTTATTGAAGATCGCGTCGATCTAAAATTTTGGTTTCTTCGCCTTTTTTATAATATATCTAATCTAGATGACTGAGTGACGAGAATTTTAATTTTTCTAACTCTAACCGAGGAAAAAAATCGTCAAAACGCGATTGTGTGCTTACCGCTCAATAATGTGAAGGTGATGGCAAAGAGAGGCTCATTCGGCTGCTTTGATATCGCGCTAATATCAACTTGAAATCGCACTTGTCTCTGGAACATGGCTGGTGCGGTGCTACCTCTTTTGTACTCCACTCTGAACGACATTGGCGAGCTCACGCTATGAGATAATTCTGCTATCTGTAAGCGTCCAGTTTGTTTCAAAATATTATAAAATTCTTTCAAATCTATTAGTGATTTTTAACGAAAGTTTTAACGAATGCTTTATTTGTGATTGCAATCCTCGCGCGAATGTATTAGGTATTCCTTTTTATAGATTTTATATAGATTTTTATAAATAGATTATATAGTAGCCATTAATCGCTTCCAAGACTTATTCCAAAATGGATAATAAGTTTAATTTAGTACACTTACCGATAAAAAAGCATGAATCAAATCGGCTTTTACACTGGCTAACGGTTTTCCCTTAACTAAAACGGTGAAGGTTTCGTCTTTCTCCGTAGTCATCAAGCTACCAAACCATGATTTTTTCGTAAGTTCCGGCGAAGAATCTGGCGTGAGATGTACCTACATGCAATGAAAACTTGATGATAAACGGAACATTAGAATTATCATAAATAATCTACTGTGCTATAACTGCACTGAGCTTTTAACTAATTTTTGGTGAAGAATTTTATCAAAAAAATATTTATATAAAAATATAAATATTTATCAATGATTTAAATTTCATTAAGGAGAAAAATTAGATCACTGATCAAAAAACGCGACTTTCGTATTGTCATATATATATATATATATATATATGTATAAAATATTGCAATTGATAAAATATTAACCTTCAAATGGTATACTTTCGAGCACCCACTAATGGAACACTGGTGCCGCGACTACCCAGCGAATAGCCGCGACAGATACTTTGTGAAAATGTCAATAACATGTCAAAAATTTTCGCGGAACGAATTTACATTCTTGTACCATTTGAAGGTTAAATAATATTATATAATAAAAAGGAATAAATTATACATATTTTCGTTATCTGTTATCACATACCTCTTCGGTACTAGTGAGCAATTTACGACGATGAAACCTGGGACTGCCCAGGAAGGAATTTTTGATCGTGGTCAATCGCGATCTCCAGTGATGAGCTCCGGATCCCGCTCCCGTGTGAGGCGAGCCCGGCGGAGTAACGCCGACCGCAACTACTGCGAAACAAATCATATCTTAAAAATATGTACTTGGCTTAAAAAAAATTAAAACTTGTTCTCTCTCTCTCTCTCTCTCTCTCCATAATTAATCAGTTACCTTCCGAAAATTTTGTTTAAAGTAGATGTGACGTTATTGACGTGTGTTGTTATTTGACGTTGATTGAAATAACGAGGGCGACTATTATGTGATGCAAATTTATCACGCAATTTTGTTTAATTACAACACAAGTTTTGTGTACACAAATCCAAATGATGGTCGGTAAAACGTAAGATACTAATCTACGTGATCACATTGGAGACTCTGATGTTTAAACGTTGATACACAATCTCGTAGCTACACGATAAATATAAGAGCACTTAGCGTAATACGATCTGCCGTGCTTATGAGGTAGTGGTCTTTAAGAGCAGTAGTTAACTTAAGTGATAATCGGTGTTGTACAATACAGTCTCCGATACACGTAATCCACAACTGTGCACTCTCACATATACACACATACTCGTATGTATAAAGTGATCAAAATTGGAAAAAGTTTAAGAAAGCACTTTGAAGAAGAGAGGTGAATAAAAGGACGTAGATGATACAAGATAATACAATAGCGATAAATTGTATATATTTTATGTATAGCAATTCGCGTTACTCCCGTGTTAACTTTACAGCGATACTATCAAACACATGCGATGTAGTATGCGACCCGCGTATATATTTAAATAAGAAACATATCTTACCGAATAAATAGAATAAAACAAGAGGAGCAATAAATTTGAAAATAAGACACAATTTTAAGGATAAACTCACCAGGTTGCACTTCATTGAGTTCAATGCCGACATTGGCGAGTGCCGGCGACGGCGTGGGAACGCTTTGAGTCGTGGGGTTGCCGTTTCCGGTGATAGTGGTATTGCTACCAATAGACAGTCTGTGTGCACCGCAGGCGATTGTCTGGCCCACGTGCGACGTCGGCATCGCTCTGTGGGGACTTAGCAGACCCGCAGGCGCATGCAACGGCGAGTTGCCCGGCGTCGACGTATGCGAATGAGACGTATGAGTGTGGCATCCACCCGTGCTCGGTGATCGACGCGCGTGATGTCTCGTGCTGTAAATAATTAGCGATCTAATTAACGGAATCGCGAATCGTCTATTTTAAACCACGAAAAAAAATTAGACGCTTTAATGGAAATTTTTCTTCTATCGGTATTTAATCGGGTGAAATGAACAAATCGAAATGTAAGTTCGAGAGTCGCGCTTGACGTGAGTTCGGGCTTGTAAATGCAGGATCGACAAAAAAGAGAGAAAGAAAAAAAACAACGCGGGGAGACACATGATAGGGTGCACGCGACATGTGCGCATAACTGACGCTGTCACGCGATCGCTATAGTTTGAAGTGAAATCGTACAGCTACCTGTCTTTACAAAACGTTTTCTTTCTGAGTAGAGTTGGTACATTTGGTTTTATCGGCAGAACAATGCGGGAATCAGGGATTCTCGACTTTATTTTCCACGCAATAAAAATATTGAGAAAACGATCTGTCATGCAACGTTTTTAACTCTCTTTATTCAAATTCACATGAATTTACCTGGACTGTCTTCTGGGCGTTAAAGGCGAGCCATGACTGATCTGTCCGAGATTGAGCGCGGTACTTCCGTTCACTCTACACGTATCCACCCGTTTTCTCGGAGGATCGGCTTCTAACTGCCCTGCGGATCCTCTTATGCCACTCCTCATTACCTCAAGCTCGTCTTCACACGCTGGTCTTCTTCGCTTCCTCTCTAGCAGCAGGAAGTATATTACCTTCTCCGTGTTGTGACTGAAAGAATATTCGTGAGTCAGATCCCACAATAGCTTTTCTCAATACTTTTCCAATACTTAATAGACTTAATAGTAATATGTAAATTAATTTCAACCGTCTTTCTATGAGAAAGAGAGAGAAAGAGAGAGAGAGAGAGAGAGAGAGAAGTGTTATCTTACTTTGGACTGAGTAGCTCTTGAATGAGTTTGTCACGCTCCTTGAAGCAACCAAGACTTGCGATCGCCTGTAGCACGTCGGGATCGATCGCTTCCACGGACGGAATAACGTGCGTCTGCACCACGTCCATCATCGACAGCTCCAATTCCAACTCGCCCTTACCCGCCGCCGTTACCCAAATATGCCTATTTATTTCTGCTAACTAAAAGAAATTTACATTCCTTATTTCGAAAATATCTTAGCATTTATTAATATTTTTGATATTAACACGTTTGAAGAGAGAGAGAGAGAGAGAGAGAGAGAGAGAATATTGCAATATAGGAAGAAACAAAGAGACCCACCGTCAATCTTTTCTCGGGATCGACTTCTATCATGCCTCTGAGCAGATTCTGACACTCGGGCGGCACGAAATGTGGTATGTAAAACAATCCGCGCTTAACTTTCTCCAACAATTTTCTCAGATTGTCGTCATCGAAAGGTAAGGCGCCTACCAGAAGCGCGTAAAGTATTACCCCACAAGACCATACATCCGCCTTTCTACCATCGTACTTTTCACCCTGTTAAAAAGAAGCAAATGATTTTATGACATTGAGAGAGAGAGAGAGAGAGAGAGAGAGAGAGAAAGCTTAAGTAGCTATTACTCGTTTAATATTTTATTTCTATGTAATTTGATATTGCAAATTGATATTGAAAATTAATTGTAATTAAGGGCACTTACTCTAATAACTTCGGGGCAGGCATAATGAGGTGATCCGCAACTGGTCTCCAGCATGGAGCCCGCGGGTTGTAAAGACGCCATTCCGAAATCCGCTATTTTAATGTTATTCTTCTCATCCAGCAACAAGTTCTCAGGCTTCAAATCTCTATGGCTAAAAGTGATATAATAAAATTAAACAAATAAATTCGATATACGTTTTTGTATAGACGATTACATGTATAAACGACAATATACGCGACTCACCATATACTATGACTGTGACAAAAGTCTAATGCGGAAATTATTTGTCGAAAAAATCTCCTCGCTTCCTTCGGGGTTAGTCTGCTCTTTTTAACCAAATAATCGAACAGCTCCCCGCCTGAGACGTGTTCCAGAACAAGATATCTTGAGAAAACATGTAAAACGTAATTTTCTTTTGTACCGTTTATTAACATAAAAATTTCACATTTTCGTCAATATACGTACAGGTATTTCTTGTTTTCATATACATCCGAGAGCCCGAGTACGTGCGGATGATCGATCAGTTTCATAATGGCGATCTCACGCTCCACTTTCATCAACACGGACTCCGAAAGCTTTTCGCGGTTGATAATCTTGATCGCTACTTTCTTGCCCAACACACAGTGCACGCCGAGTTTAACTAAACCTAAAATTAAAAAAAAAAACATTTAAAAATTTAAAAAGGAGATTTATCTTACACGAGCATACATAAGACTCAATAAAATTTTCCTAAATTATTGGTCTTTAAGACTATTTGATTTCTGTATTATACCACTATGACAGATAATTCTAATTATTCTTTTATTTTTTGTTTTGATATATATAATTTCAAAATTTTGAATTATTTTCCGCGATTAATTTTCCACGATTCTGCAATTATAATTAAGCATAGAGAAATGACAAAGAATATCAGTAAAGCGGTCGACAGAGAACGTGCTTCAATTACTTGGAGATTGAGTTATTCCTCGAGGATGCGTATATAAATACACTATTATCCTAGAGAGACAAACACAGTGGCTTTACTTGAGTGATTTAGTATTCTTTTCACTTGGTAAATTTCGACAACGTTTGCGGATAAATTTTGGCAACGTTGGCGGATTTCTATTAAAAATTACTGTTCGAGCAATCAGACTTTATCAATTTGCTGGTATCGCGGAATATATTAATAATTCAAGTTACATACAAATGCATTAATTGTTATTATTTGTTCCATGTAATCTCTACACTAGAGACTATATTCCTAATTACGTACTATTGAATCGGTCGAATTTGCGGTAACGTGTACATATATATGAATACCTGCTAACGCAGTACACGTTAATAATTCACGCACGATACAAAATGCTTGTTACAATTACGAGAAGTCTTTCATCGATTAAATTCGTACGGATTCTATGACGACAAAGAATACATCGTTTTATAGCTACATTAGTAATATGAATTACAGATCACATTAGGGACAAATTACAAAAGCATACTACAATTGTAGAAGACCAACAGATTAGACTTATGATTCTTATCTTATAATGACAAGCGATAAAAAATCTGACTCAATAAAAGCCAATTCAAAAACGTGATTTCCGAGTTTATCACAAAATTGGTTTAAATCGCTGTCTGAAGTTCACGGCGAGTCGCGCCACACAATCTTTATCCACTTTACAGGAAGAAACTGTTCGTTGTGAAACAACGATGGAGAACAATTAAGAATCCTCGTAACGAAGTCACGCCTATTTGAAGGATTAGAGCTAGGGTTTAATCCTGAATAAAGAATCGCGACGTTTTATACGATTACGTAAAAACTGCGATCATTATTGCAGGCGCTCAATTCTCAGGCACGAAGTGATCGACGTGTTTTGATTACTCGAGTGAAAAATAATTTTTCACGTGCGCGTCAGCTTCTCTGTAACTATATCGCATGCACTTATTTACATATCGTCTAAAAATATATTACGTTTCTGTGACATTACGCTAGTACGTTATAAATAGTTCAAAACAGTTTTTATGATTAAGGTGATGATGGCCATCTTTCAGCCATTCTCAATCGAATCGCGCGAGATTAAGTCTCGTCAACGATTGACGAGATGACAATTCCTATGGAATTAAATGGACGCGACGTTTCCCGCGTCAAATCTGGTGGCAATTGCATTAGCGGCTATTGAGACCATCGAGAGTTAAAGTGCACTTTCCCCTAACGATTTACGTCATCCATGATTTAACGGTGTCGATAGCATATGCATTTGCAGAGAGAAACCTTCGAACTCATCGCACGCAGTTTAGAACATACCTATATTTACCAAGATTAAATCTTACATGTATGACTCGCGCATATAAATGAATTAGGTACTTATTGTCTTATTGTTAGTATGATTTCTCACAATCAAACATTTGATAGTGAGAAATCTCAGATAGCACAGAGAGTTTAAAAAGAATTCATTTGTATATTCAGTCATCAATTCTGAGTTAATTTTCAGATGCAAAAGAATTCTTTTTCTAGAAGTTCTGGAAAAGAATTCTTTTTGCACTTGAAAATGAACTGAGAATTGATGACTGAATATACAAATGAATTCTTTTTAAACTCTGTTATCTAAGATTTCTCACTATCAAATGTTTGATTATGAGAAATCAATAAGACAATAAATAATTCATTTATATGCGAGTTATACATGTAAGATTTAATCTTGATAAATATATGATTGTACGAATAAATTCTTTTTGAATTTACGAATGAATTCTCTCTATGCTGGGATTTGACATGATAAATTCCTCCAATATTTAAATTTTTAATATTAAATTTAATCTCGAATCTCTTTCGAATACGTGATATGAACCAAAAAAGTCTTATATTATTAAAAAATATTCGTGGTTAAAGTATTACCCGAATATATATGTTAACGTAATGCCAATTTGTCGTTTTCACTTTTTCGATTTCGTTCGCTTTTCACAACCAATTCACATACTAAACTTGCCGGGAGCTTTTCGCACCTCGTTTTTCAACATCTTCGTTCCCGCGAGGATCATCGTGAGCAATTATATTCTTTTTTCTAATGTCTCGATCGATTCCGTCGGTTATTATTCAAACCGCGCGCACTTATGTCGCGAGCATGAGCGGCAATTTCATTACCTACCCGCCCGCGCATGGGTCACGGAATTCAAAGCGTGGAGAGGAATTCATTCGTATGATTAACGCGCCGTATTGTCACGTGCCAGAGCATGCACCCCTTTCGAGATGCATACGGGATCGATATAGTCCGCCGGAGGAAATGACCATCACGAGACTCAAATCTGCTGAAAGCTGAGCCGCGAATTCATTAACGAGCTTTTACAAAATTACGTATTAATATATCGAAGAACCAAAATTGTATTTCTATTTAAACTTTGCATTGAGAGTTTCATCTCTCTAGATATTCTGTCTGATATAATAAAATAAATATAATAAAAAGTGCTTACTGAAAAAGAGAAGAATGTTTCATCTTAACATTGCTAATTTACCCCCACATTTACATGCAGAATATACGCGCGCGCGCGCGCGCGCGAAACGGCGAATTCTTTTTTCTTTGCTTTATTTATGTGTTCGTTGTTGTCGACGTAATTACTTTTCAGTTCCCTGTTGATGGCACTTAATTAAAAATGTTTATTAACTGCTTCATAAAGATTTACAATTGTCGTTGAGTTTTTTTTTTTTGTACAGCGAACATATTACAAAGCGGAGGATCTTAAATTTTGAATCGTAATAATGTTTGTTATTAGAGTACCAAGTTACAGAGCGATTAAAAGATAAACAGATATTTAGAAATTAAATCTCCAGTCGTTTTTTCTCCTGCTTTTTTCATGTTCTTTCAGTGAATCATACCCTTTGGTGTGATTTTTAAAGAAAATATAATTTGATTCTGGCAACTTATACTATAATTTAAAGACATTTTATGGGATATTATTATAGATGCCGCTATGATTACCCCAAGTTTATTCACGTTCGAAAATTCTTTCTAATTCTCTGTCTGACCATAACCGTTACATGACATAATTAGTACGTTCTCAGTATCGATCTTATAATAGCATCGAATACCTTCGAGGTGAGAACAAATTAGTACGGTGTACACTTCTTTCTCTGTAAATCTTTGACGTGCGAGCTTTTCGTAAAACATGTACATTTTGTTCTTTTATACTTATTTCTTTTATAATTCATATTGCGAAAAAAACTTTTTATTTATTTAATTATTTCGATTTATTTTTTGAATGTATTCTGATGAAAAATACTATCGCAACACATCATAAGATAAAATTGTTCTTACTTTGCAATTGCATTTTGCAATTGCAACTTCTAACTTGCTTGCACAAATTCACAGCGTTACCATTCGTAAATATGTATGCGCAACAATATATTCAAAATATTGTTTATTTTGCAAGCCTCTTCGATGTATTTACATATAAGTTTTGTGGAATGTGTATATCTATTCTCTGAAAATGTGCACGTGTCGCAGTTACGCCGAAGGCTAATCTGAATAGTATTTGAATACGAAACGTGAATAGAACCATACATGTGGAGGTGAGGGTAGAAAGTTATGATCAAATATTCGAACTGAGCCGCTAGTTCACGAAAATGCATTCAACAACAGTGCTATAAAACTAATAGTCTTGTACGGCTGCGGAATAGCTTAAATTCGATCCCATAATGCCGCAATAACTCGTATTAGTTATCATTTGTATATGTTACAAATTTTTCTTTCTATCTTCGTTATGTTGTTGCGACAACAGAATTCTCAATCATTGATAGATTCAAGAAACATAAAAAATATAATATAAGCCTCCTATATAATATATAATATAATATCCTATAACATCCTATGTATAATATAATATCCTATAATATATATGTAACATAATATAAGCCTCCTTTCGAAAGCTCGCGTGGTCAGCAAGATAATCCGCGAGAATTACACGTGTTCTATGTCACAATGCGGCAGACCTTGAAGTCCTGCGAAAGTTTCGCGGCAAATTTGTATCGATCAACGCATCGAAACCTTAACCATTTGGTCTTTCCAACCAGAAACAGTTGTTTTCAAGCTCTGTCATGATTGTCACTGATTGTGTGAAACGCGAGATCTCGTATATCCTCTCGAGTACGCGGAACTTAATTAAACATTCTGACGCGACTTGATTAGACATTTCTGTGGCTATTGTCGATCGCAATAATGATTGCAACGGAGATTTGTAATAGAAAAGGGGGAGGGATGGATGAGGAGAGTGAGTGAGAGAGAGAGAGAGAGAGAGAGAGAGGAGGGAGAAAAAGAGAGAGAGAGAGAGCATGTGCCACCCACCAGTCTGGCCTTTCCCCAAGGTCTTTTCCAACCGATACGGGCCGACGTACTGATGGGTCTCTTGGGTATTGGACCCAACAGGGCTCTCCTTGCCCTGCATCGCCGCTGAGCCACTTCCTTCTTCTTGGTCCGCCAGGTTGAAGGGTTGTCCTATACAAACGACCGATGTGTAACGTACCACGATCTTTCTCCTCTTTCTGCACTCTGCGCTCGTCGTTATCACTTCTTTGTGAGATTTGGTACCGGTCTGTCGTGTTCTACTGCGATCTCATGCGACATCGTGCTCTCTGTCGTGGTAACTTGCGATGGAATACGGAAAATGTTTTGAGGATAACTTGACGAATAAATTGTCTTCGAGTTATATTTTTTAAATTTCATTTGGGCAGCAATTCGAAGACAATTGACGCGATATACGCGTCAAATATTAGTTTATTATCGGTATGCGTCCATTTCTTCTCGAAGAACATTGCATAGGTTTCGACTCAAGCATAGGTTATTTATATGTATGTCGTCGGATTGCTCGCACCGCGTTGCCTTGCTTTCGCTCGAATTAATCGAGAACTGTTGTAAATCGCGTGTCATACACATCCATCTCGTCGTTAGCCCAGATTTTTACTTTTCGATATGCAACATTTATTGGACGATAAGCGATGAGAAACACCGCCAAATACCCCCAGACGGGAGCATCGCGCACCTGCATTCACCGTATTCACTATCACTGTGATGATCTGACATAATCTTCTTTTATCTTCGGCGGATGCCTCTTGCGGATTCTTTTCATGTTGCTTCTTTCTTCACCGTGTACTAGCGAGACTACCAGAGACGTTTCAAGGAATTACGCCAGTTACGCCAACTGGTAGTCCACTCATTTGAATCAGAGGTACATCGAGCGGATACAGAATGGATAGACACAGAAGGATATATATCTATTTACGAAGATGCCTGCTGCTATTGCATCAGTCAATCGTGGCCGGCCACGATTCCACAAACACGGAGTTGGGCGCCATTGTGATTCGAGGAGAAACTCCACGGTACCCTGCCTCGTCGGGGACGTGGCTGAACCCCGTCGAAATTGGCCGCTTTTAATCAGTGGCGGCGTTGCAGCTCCTCCACCTTACGACAGCTCTCCTCGTTCCGCCAACCGTTCACGACTAAAATCCTATTCAATTCTCGCTGATGACGATATCCACCCTGCTTGGCACTCGCGAAGCGACGAATTTGACTTGACAGTGATGTTTCGGGATTTCTTAGACACGCTTGGATCGGGCTGGCGCGTATAAACTTTCAAGAGAAACTACCCTCCTTCGCTCGAGTCGCACTATCGCTATATCCCGCGTGCACTTGTGCATCGATGATATCGCTACGATTCAGCGACAAGCGGCATGATTGCGCTCGTGGCCGGGTTGTAAATTGGAGCTGTCTATCACGATGAGGCGTGGCTCTTACGAAGAATCTCTTCTTCACTTCACGTTTTTATATCGGCCCTATCTTCTTTCGTTTTAGCTAAACTATATACGTTCTCATTTTAGAAATGAAATTTAGCCCCGTCTTACGGAACTGACGACGGCCACCACGGCGCTCCCAGTTCGATTATGTGCCGGACACACAGAGGGGGTAGGTAATGCGCGCGCAATCCCACGCCCGCGAACGGGGAGACCCTTTCCGCCCTCTGCGCGTATGGGGGACCACCACCGACCGAAGGCGACGGGAGGGTGTCAGACCGGGCTCGGGAAAACGTGGCGGAGAAAGCAGCGTGTGTCTACCTTCGGGGTAGCAGAGTGTACGATATGCGAGGGTGGCATCACCGCCGCCGCTGTCGGTACAAAGACGATTGCCGATGGTTCGCGTCCGGGCTTTCGTTTGTGGCTGAATGAGTTCTCCGTCATGCGAGGGTGTTCACAGTTCATCTTTTTTTTTTGGTGCTAATTTTATCTTATTCAGAAGGCACTAAATAGTCCATCCTTTTCATCTCATTCTGCTATTAAAAAGTGATTACCTCAGGCCGGCTTTCAAAGTTATGTTATACATATAGGTAATATCTTATATATTTAATGTGTAAAATTTTCAGATAATTATGTAACTTATACGTATGGATATTAAAATATTTTTTATTTGTTTTTTTTGGGGGGATAATTTTACATAAACAAAATAATGCTGCAACATATTTGGATAGTATATTCTAGAATATACTGTCCAACATCTACTTATACAACATTTTTTATTTATATCATTGTCGCAAATAAATATAATATGGACAATATTTTTTATGCAAATGTGTATATATATATTCATATACATGTAGATATATGTAAATAATAATAAAAATAGATATATGTAAAACAAAAATTAAAATTTGAACATTCTGTCTCTGTGCAAATTCTTTCTTTATTAATTATTACATAAAAAATATTTGCCTATATTTAGTATATATATAGTTATATGTATAGTTATATATATATGTTATTTATGCACGTATTATACATATATTCTATATTTTTTTATTTATAAAAACGATTAATCTGAAAATATAAATAAATGCTATCAAAGTTTCATTTATATTTGTACTTTCCGCGTAATTAATAACAATGCCTAATCTCGTTGTTCATGGTATTTTGATCGTTGTTTTATTGGCGGCACGTGCGTTTAATTGAGTTCGATAAGTTGGTGGTTAAAATATACGTCTAACATTACCACTTTCCATTTATCGGTTGGAACGAGTAATAATACCTCGCGACAAAGTCGGAGCTATATTGTTGTCTCGTGGAGAGAGAGTTGTTTCCGTCTCAAACGATAAAATGCGATTCCTCTGCTGGCGACAGAAATGGAATGCCGGAACTGCATTCCGCTGTCATTGATGTAACTCGCTCGACTGTCAACGCTTTAACTGACTATGACGGAAGCCAAGGGGTTGCCGACTCAAACGCGGAGCTAAACCACTTTCGTCCTCATTATCACGATGGAAAGAATATTGTTCTTTGACAAATAATTCAATTCGATTTAATATAAAATAAGATTTAATACAAAATAAAATAGTTATTTACTTCTTACGGATACTTTATTTCTTGCGTTTAACAAAAATCAAGATCTAATTTATAGATCGCTACAATGCGTAATCTCATATAAGATTGTTGCATCTGAAATCGTAAATAAATAATTTATTTAATATAATAGATAAAAAAATATTAGAAATATTTTAGATAAAATGTGTGTTTTAAATGAAATTATATCTACGTATTTCTCAGTAACAGAGTCAAAAGTTTGTGCCAAAGTTTTCTCTACTATGCGAAATAAGATGTAATGTATTATTCATTCATAGTAAAATTAAATGAGATGAAAAAAGAGATTACATAGGTCTGATCCCTTTCTAATACCAACGAAAAAATTCCATTTTTTTTCTTTCTTTCGAATTTATGTGTATGAATTACATTATTTATATTAGTATAGTATTTATTATATTTTAAACAATTTCTTTGATGTCTGTGTTAATTTTTTTAATCTTTCAATGCATATTGTGGTATAAACTGAATATCGCGATATTAGAAAACGATTAATTAAATTACCTCAAGCGAGATAGCTCAATTTTGATCATGCAAACGAACTGTAGGGGAGGTCTTGCGGAAGAAAGGAAGGATTTCTCTTTCCTCATTGTGGTATGAATCTGTTAAACGTAGCAGTTAATTCTTTTGGAAAGAGAGAGAGAGAGAGAGAGAGAGAGAAGTGTAATGGAGGCACTTCTCTCGATAAGGCGCGTGTATAAATATGCAAGGAAAATTACCCGCGCCATGGCGTGGTCCTACCACGAGGAGGGCTACTTGTGTGGGGGCAAAGTGTAATATACAGGGTGATCCATGCTATATGATTCAATCTGAATATAGCATCTACAATGATATTTTTGAGAAAAGTTGGATTGCTTCTGATTATAAAGATATCTTTATTGTTTTATTGTTTAACAACAAAAATGCCTTTATCTTTAGTAAAACTATGTGTTGTAAATTTTTTTTATTTTTTTACATTTGAACAAAATCATAATAAATTCATTAAAATATTGTTTTATATATTTTAAAGTTAATAATAAAATAGTTGCATAAACGAAAGAAGATGCATAAAAAAGGAATCGGTTAAGTGAACCACCCCATAGATTAAGTCTGCGAGCGAGCGAGAGAGAAACAGCGTGGTAAAGAGACGGGATCATGGGGGGAAGTGTGAGAAGGAGAGAGGGATAACAGTCGATGGCACAAGAGGAAGGGGTGCAGGGTGCTTAGGATCGATAGATATATACAGGCAGAAAGGAACACAGGAAGCGTCTGACACCTGGGAAACTTCTGGGAATGGTTTCTTACGAGGTGATTCAACTCGATTCGCTAACAAGCTGTTTTCAATACCGATCGATAATTCGACCATTTTTACATCAAAACAAGTTTTCTAATATCATCGATCGTGACGTAAGATTGTCTTTGATAGAGATCGGTTGTTATTACCAAAATTGTTGTACAAATAGATTTACGTAAAGACGAATTCATCATGCGTTTCTCTCCCCGAAACAGAAATGATAACAAGACAAAATAAATAATAAATATGCATTAATTGTACAACATTAATTATGCAACAAGTAAATTGTTGAAAGAATCAATTAATTATACTTATATTGATTAATTACGAATTAAGCTAAAAATGTTCTAGAAGAAATGTCTTCATCTCTTTTTATCGACTATTAAATCATGTAGCCTAACGAATGAAAATTTGTATATTTTTAATATACTTATTTTATATAAAGAGAAAAAGGAGAACTTTATATATTATACTAAAGGATAAGAGAGATTTTACGCTCTGTCGTGTGTTACCTACGTTCTGCAGATATCCTAGATACAAATTTGAAGTTAAACATCAGGAACGCGCGGGCTTCAGGTTTTGACAGCTCAAGTACAAGCGATTAATTGACCTGCCATCATCGTCCCTTTACTGTCCTCTGCAGAACCAGATAATCGTCATAAATACGTACGGTTAAATTACCATAAATCACTGATGAAAATTTTTCTTTTTTTTATTGTTTGTTAGAAATTTACAAAAATAAAAATTTGTGAACAAAAAAATTGTTATATGCATTACACGTAACTCGGATACACATATATTTGAGGATTCGTCAAATATTCGGCCAGGGATAGCCGAGATTAACCCGACAATTTTATGGCGACAGTAGGGATATCCGGTATATGTCGGGAGATGAATATTTCGCTAGAGTGGTACAGACATAGTTTATCCGCACTGTCAACTCGGCGGATTAAGTCCCGATGTGGTCGTCTGTGAAATTTTCCGGAGAAATTACAATCAGTTCTGAAAATACGCGACTAATTAAATTTTTAAGACATAAAGGTCGTTGTACTCCATGTATTGTGCTTTTGTAATATTCGCTTTTCTCCTAAAATCAGGCAGAGAGTCTGAGAATTCTTAGAGTCGGAGAGTTTGCAGAAAAGCAAGTTTGTTTGAGAAAAGCATATTGTAAAAAATTTAGGAAAGCATGACATTTATATCATAACATAGTATGGATGGATACGAAATAAAAATATTTCACACTGATATTTTCTTTAAATGAATTTATTATATATTATTTTGAAATATCATAGAAACTGCAACTGTACGCTTTTATGAGTCATATGCGTAACATTCTTCTCACAGGGATGAGTAATACATAAAAGAGGGGCGCGATGTTAACATGCCGAAGCGAGCAGCGGATACTTGAAGCACCCCTATAACTCCTCCGCTTTTTATCTTCTTTTTTTTGCTATGGCGTTTCCATTTTCCTTTCGACTTTGATTTAATTTCTCTGTTAGAGAAGAAAACCTTCAATCTTCTTTATAATAAGTTTAATATAATTATATCAGCATTAGATAGTATTGATATAAATTAAAGGTTCTTCTCGGCTCCGATGATTATGATATTGACGTATGTTACCGTAATGGATGCATCTAGCTACACCTATGTGTGTGCGAAACGGCATCGAGAGTGCTATGTATGTAACATAGTTTGATTTATGCAGCTGCTAAATGTGATCTCTATTAAGCGTGTACTTTGTATATGGACTCCAGAGTGTGGTAAATCATAAGGGTGTAGCATCGGGTGCGCTCCCATGGGACATAATAATATAATCGCGCCCCAAAGTACCAAGTTCGACACCGTCGATGTTCGGACAAGTTTCAGAAATAATTAACAGCCTGACTCCGCGTCTCTTAGCTCGACTGACATCATCTGTCATCGGGGAATATATCGCCCGTTTCATCTACCTATTAAATTGATTAAAGCGATAAATATCTCAATTAATTCTTTTTTGGACACAGATGCGAGAACGGAATGCGTTTTTTTCAATACTGTACCTAATGTCATTTTGTGAAATTTGTACATAAAAATTGTACATAAACATTTTAAGATTATTTTCCCAAAATATGTTAGAATTTTCTAAATTAATAAAGATACAATCGCTTTAATTATGTTACACATATGGCTATATGTGTAACATAATTTATTGCGCGTATATTTTCAAGTAAATATTTCTGATAATATTTTACTTAAAATAGAATCTCTTAAATATTTCAAATGTATTGCTCACATAAGTAATTAGAATCTCATTGCACCTCATCTTCGTAAAGTACAAGTGCTTCCCGCAGACAACCTGCACATTCTCGGGGGTTGCTGCGACAAAGAGGTAACAACCACCCTCATAGGCGTGACAACTCACGTGTCTACCCACGCAGTAACTCGTGCATACACGTGAAACCGAGCACGTGAATAGGGGAGCAGGCTTTGATTCGGACTTTCGGAGCGATTCTACGAGAACTTTACGAGAAGGACAACGAGGGTTGGTGGTGCTCTCTCTGCGTAGAAGACCTTGGGGAAATCCTAATATTTTAACCAGCGGCGAAGTATAAAAGGACCCGCGCGAGCAAAGCACTGAAAGGGAAATGGGGTGTTGTGCTAGCGAGTCATCCCTGCGTCCCTACCCTCGTAGACGAACGTCTACATACGTATACGTACATATCCGTATGCGGTACTCCTGGAGGGAAGTACTTGCAATTAACGCGGTAAGACTCGGCTATTGCAAGAGGCCCTTCATTCTCCTCGCCCTCCTCGGGGTCCTTTCGCTTCTGATCCCCGTTCGAAGTGAGCTCGGAAGAGACGAGCCGGAATCTGCTCAGTTTTGTCAGCGACACGTATAATTTTCGCACCTGTAACGTAATTATAGTGATATCATGTTATTTGTTATATTAAAAAATATTTTGCACGTAAACTTCTTTGATACACTTATAAACAATCTTTATTTTTATAAGATTGCACGAGCATATTCTGGATGGGCTCACATTCGAAAATGCATTTCTTTCCCCAGGCCGGAAGTACGACTTGGTCATGACACTGTCCATTGTACCGCTACTAAGTGTATACTCGTGTAAAATCCCGGCGGTGCAATCATTTCGAATTTTTAGATAACTTATACGTAACGGTCGCCGTGACTGATAGATTTTACTCGTGCGCCTCCTACAATTGTAGCATCGATGGCTTTATACGAGGGGACCGTTTTAGACCTCCATATATAAAATATATAGTGTCGTAATCGTGTACATAAAATCGGTAACGCTTCGCTGGTTTTTTATCCAGTGACAAGAATGATAAGTAACTTAATATATCAGTGTAAAGTGCAATGTATAAAAATATTGTGTATATGTAAAAATAATTTATAATTATTTAAAATATTATTTGAAAGGTGATAATGAAAGTTAAGATTGCTTATGCACGATTTCATATTAAATTTTGACACTCATTTTAAAGCGCAATATATGTCGAGCATATTGGCGAAACTTGCACGTAGAAAATATAAAACATTTCGATATCGATTTTATCAGTCGTGCCAATGTAGATATTCCCAAACTTACTATAGGTATATCAGAATACCAGAATATTACTTACTATATTAGGTATTTTTTTAATATAAAATAAGCAAAAAAAAAGAGCCTATAGTATTGATAACACAACGAACGTAACTACGATCTTATAGAAACACGTGCGTGCAAGTTGTTGAATGTTTTCGCAGAGCAATCTCGTTTGATTATATCTTGGCCGATATATCTCACGTTTCCCTAATCTGTCTCTTCTTTCTTCCAATCCATTACTTGTTCCGATAGAAAAATGATAATAACGATCGTATTCCCGTATTTAATAGACACATTCGGAAGATCATTCCGTCGGTAAAGGTCATCTCGTCGCTTTATTCTGCGGTCAGGATAAAGATTTGGCGTTTTTATTCTTATCATGTCCTTCGATGAATTTACGTTTATAAATCAAGTGAGATCTCGATGAGTGCATTTTTGTAATTTTATATTCTGTCATTTTTGCTCTGTCTTTTGCTCATTCTGTTATTTTATTTTATGAATCGCATATTTTGTGTCATAAGAGAATTTTGTAAATTAATTATTTTGGATAAGGAGTATATATATATGCTAGCTGATGGCCAACGACAACAGCATATATTCAAGTCTATAATTATAATATCCCTTCAAGAATCCTCTCTCTTCGCGTCACATAACGAAAAATTCGCTGAAAAGGAAAAAAAAGAAAAAGGATTTGGCTGTCCCGGCTGCCACAACGCGTGGCGCTTGCTTTCGGAACCACTTGCAATTTTTTCTGCTTTCAGCGGAAAAATTGGAGAAGACGCCTCTCGGGCATCGCAAAACTGTCGGCGAGTGAATAGTAGAAAGCTCGAATAGCTAGCTCTACAGCCGTTCGTTCTTCAATCTGGATCCTTTCACTTTTTAACCTAGTTTCCATTGTTAGACTACCAGACTATCTTCCTGTCACGTTCGTTGATGATTACCGAACTAATTGTAGTTAGCACTGTATTGGTATTTCTTTTCATTTTTTTTATCATTATCGCGTACTATTATACATATATCTTCTCTACAGTTATAATAAATAATTAATTTAATTCATATATTTTATTTCTAATAAAATTATATCGAAACATATAATATGTATATGGACATGCATTTTTTACAGCGAAAAGGATATATTCACTATATTTTTGTGTCTTCTATATCTTTCGTGTATGTACATTCATAGCGCGAAGCGAATGACGTATATGTAAGGAATGATTAATACAAATCCTTGACGCTCCTTGATCGTCGTTCACAAGCACTTTGCTTCTGTCACGGTTTACCTTCAAGCGGAATAAGTCGTGGGCGTAACTTCGTCTCAAGTAGTTTATACTAAGCTTATTTTCACGAGAAAATAAAATAACTATATATACTTCTACAAAATGATGCGAAATAATGATATTCGTAAATATTGTTATGTTCAAATGTTATTACAATATTATAAATATTTTTCTGCATGAATGTAATAATCTACAATGTATTGGATTAATTAAATGTATATTGATAAAACGTGACTGACAATTATTTGGAATACATTAAAAATTAGAAAATCAGAACAAAATATTTCGAAATATCCCTTAATTAGAACATACATACAAATAATAATAATAATAATATATGTTCTAAGAAATATCCTAAACGAAAAATAGAAAACATTTTTCTGAAAGGAAATAGATATCTTTCAATTCTCAATGGAAAAAAATAGATGAAAATCGATTTAGAATTTACATCAACGAACGTGATACAGTGACAAAATTACAAAAATCGAACTTTCACGCATTCTCTCATGCGAGAAAGGAGAATGAAAGGTACGTGAAGACGAAGATTTACTGTTTATTGCTTTTTCTCTTTTCTTTTTTTAATCTAACAATAAGTTTCTTGTTTTACCTCTTTTTCATCATCACTATCATCAGCATGCACGTGTCTTCTTATTACGCTATATATGTGGATTTACTATAATCGTAGAATCGCGATTTCTCATGGATTGCGCCAATTCTCTTATCCCCACAGTTTCCCCACTCGTGGCAAGTGTTTTCATTTGCTTTGGTCCACGGCGAACGAGCGCCGAGTATAGTAGTGTTGTATCGGTTATCGCCACGTGAAGTATTTCTCGCGACCAAATCTGCGCGTAGAATTATTTTTTTTTTTCGAAGGATTTTCTGAGGATCTTGATAGCCGACCGTGACAGGCATGAGGACCTTTTGGACCATCATTCTCCTTTGCGTCATCGCCGTGATCGTTGCGGTGCACGCAAAGCCTACAATTTACAAGAGAAACGAGGACAATGTATTCGAGCCAGGTAGACGAAAGATCTGCAATAATTTATTCAGATGCATGTTAAATCAGTAAAAAACGCGATTAAATATTTTCCAAACGAATTTAAATATTCTTCTATCTATTTATTCTCTTCTTTTTCTTGGAGAAAAGAAAAAGAGATTGCGTGTGTATCTTTAAATATATATTTCTTGCGAAACTCTCGTTAGCGTACAAGAAATAATGACTGCGTGTCACGGTACGTGTATGTACAAATTACATATTTTCCAATGCACATCATCCATTTACGGATATCACCAGTTTTCCTCTTAAAGCAATAATAAAAAATGAATCCTTTTTCTATACTGTAGTAAAAATTGTACGCGAGCAAAATTATGCTACGGATCTGATGACCGGAAAAAATTTTGTTTACCAGCAAAAAATCCTTTCAATTTGCGATTTTTTATGCAATGTGTGAAACACGTTATCATTTTAGAGATAGCCCAGAGAATAAGCGTTTTGCTGGAATTCGATACAACGAAATGTCAACACAATATACATAATGATGTTTTGACAGTATTTGGAAAATTTATTTCAATAAAAATTTTAATTTTATAAAGGATTAGAGAACTTAAGTAATGCACGGAAAAATTTCCACACAGAAAAAACTTTCACTTTAATTGCCACGATCTAATTAACGCTGCAGAGATCGCACGCCCTTTCTCTCGTGCTGCGCGGCGCTCGTTTCTCCTTCAACACACATCGACCGCCTTGTGTAGCTTGATGATAAATGTATGTTAATAAAAAGGAAAGATCCGGGACGAAGTGTTACTGACCATATAAAGAGCGATCTCTCTCTCGAAAATTCCAAATTTGCGCGAGCCGATATTCGACAGGTGAGTGGAACGGGACGATGACGTCAGGCAGGATAACGCGTAGGTTTCGATTAACGAGGTCCACGTACGTATATCACATCTAAATTGACGCGGAATATTTAGATTAAAGATTCGTAGATCTCATATTTCTATGCGTTCCAAACTGTAAATATATTACTTGGATTTTTTCTGATTTCTTGAAATTTTTCCCATGTCGCTGCACACATGAGCGCATAAACTTTTCTAATCTATAGCTCTTTTGCCGCTGGCGCGAGCGGTTGGAAAGGCAAATCGCTAAATAAAGAAGACGCCCACGCGTAGAAGGTGTTAATAGAAGTTACATATATGTCGTCCTTGAATTGTCGTTACATGCAGCGCGAAAGAGGGGTATGTAGAGACGACGTGTTTCTCGCAGCAACCAAGTGCAATCGTCGCTCGAGTGAACAATTCGAAAGGATTTCTCTGTAATAATACACTGTAGGTGTATACTTGAATTCATTCTAGTGTGAACGAATGCAGCTATTATAATGTACGTAATAGTATACGTAAACGAGATTTGTACCATTATTATAGATCAGATGCCATATGCACGCGAAGATAAATAACATATATATAACTATTACATCGCTCGCACGTACCGCGAGTGCTGTAATTAAAATAAATAAAGATATTCGATTAAGTATATATGATATTTGCGGTACAGATAAAACTCTTACAATTAGTTACGCAAACGATATATGTGATTACATATACATATCATATATGCAACATTTACTGCCGTCTTGACATTTCCGTCGTTCAATTTTCGGTGCCCCAACTTTCTATATACTTTTTCTTGCATGCGGAATGAATAATTAACTTTCACTATACTCCGATTATTACTCGTTTATGAATATCGAATCTTATACCGATTATTTGCGATCGATAAAATAATATATATAAATTATGTTATCGAGCATCTAATGTATAGACCTACTAAATCAGCCGATTATATTAATAATTTCGAAAAATTATCTAGACAAGTGTGTGCATTTAATTTTAAAAATATATCGTTGATCATTCTTAAATTTTACAATTCAAAATTCCGAATTCTCAAAATCTTTCCGGTAAAAAATTATTCATATTATATAAATCAAAAACATCAATCTATTAACATAAATATTACATATAACTATAATACATAAAATGTCTACATATATTTCAAATTTTCTTTCTTTTATGTATAATTTCCATTCGTGTATATACTAGAAAAAAAATGATAAGTAATACACATAATATACATATGTACGTTTTTTACTATCAATGATTAGTATATAACAGACGTGCGCTTCGCGCGCGCTGCATATTGAATCCCATACATCTTCCAATAACATTTATACCAATTTACATTTAAACTAAACAAATGTTAAGAATTTTCGATAAAAAATCCTATCTTAAAATTGCCGTGTTACCTGCGTTGAAGCCTCTTTTCCCCAATGTTTAAAAATTCATATCTTCCAGAAAAATAAAGATATAGACTTCTTACTGAGCTCATCTTAAAGATGAATTATGAGGCTATTGTGTGGT